TATGGTTGTTTTTTTACTTAAAGTAATGCTGCAATTCACAGTTTAAATAAAATTACATTATATAAAAGTTTCTTTGTGTTTGAATTTTTATTTATGCATTTCCAGATACAAATTGCTATATTGTGATATATATCGTTATCGAGGTAGAAAATTGCTTCTACCGTGATAGAAAATTTTGGTTATATCGCCCACCCCTAGAAAATAGTATTGTTTTTCATGATAAGGTTTCACAGTACTTCTTCAGTATTGGTATACTGTGCAACACTAATTACCCCCCATTCACATACATATGTTTCAACCAACAGGTTGAGAGTAATATGATATGTTTTACTGACAAGAGCCAATAAGTAGTATGCGTTAATCAGTGGTGTGTCCAGGGATGATGACTTTAGGAAAAGTGTGCCGTGGCAGAGAAAAGGCCAGGAGACACTGCAGCAGAGTACGTGTGAATGAGCCTGAATGACAAGGCGATTTTGTTGGCTTATTCACCACTTAGAACGCGGAGCAAGACTGCCTGACTCAGTAGGAGTTTCTTCCCACAGACAATCAAATTACTGAACTCCATCAACCAGCACACAACATGCTGACCTGCTGTGACTGAATCCCTGAACACACACACAGATTGTTTGAAGACACACATCAAGAACTCATCTCTCTTAAATTGCTGCTATTTCTGTGCTTTACTAGAATGTTTCTTGTCACTTTAACACCATTTTGTATATACGTGTGGCTATGGAAGTGAGCACCTGAATTCAATTATTTGGAGAGGTATCCCTATACTTTTGGCAATATAGTGTATATAATATAACGTAATATCTGCACTGACATGCATGTATAGCAGTTTAGTCAACTTGAATTTGCTCACTGTTTTAGATATGAAGTAATAGTAGTGTGCGTGTGTGTATGTATGTATAAAGCATGGTGCACATGCTAAAGGGCATATAGTTTATAGTTGTCTATGGCTAACTATGTATTAATGGGTGGCTCCATGGATGTCTTCTTGTAAGATGTTGTTGCACCATTCACCAAGTTTTTTTTTTGTCACATTGTGCAATAATGCAACTACGTGAAATATAACATGCAATATTCTTATGACGGGGACTATTCTTTATTTCAGCCTATATTAGACTATACATGAACGTGTCTGTCTATGCTGTCCATTATGTTTATTTGCTGTTGTATAGCATGCACTTGTATTCTGTCTATGTTTGTACAATTTCATTCAGCTGTGTACTCCTTGTTGTACGATCCGAATGCCAAAGTTCAGTTCAGTTCAGTTCAGGATAGGTCATAAAGTTCCAGCCCACCTGAACTAATTAAGCAATAGAAAATAGGGTGGAATGAGACCAAATTCCTAACCTGCAACTCCAAACCAGCAACTTTTAATTCATTGTTAAATCTGGCTTGCAGATTGATCTTTCCACTGTTTCACGAATCTCAGTGGGCAATCTCTGCAAGGTTCACTGCTGGCAAGTCCATCCCCAGCCTGGTTATCATGGTTATCAGTGTACCACTTCTATTACGTCATATCTAAAACGCAGCTATATATAGCCGTCATAACTTGAATAAACTCGACTGCTCAATTTTTCAAAAGCATCAATTAAAACTTGGCTTCTCAATTACTTCGCAATATGGCAGAGGGAAGATGGAGCATAGGGGATCAGGGTCCAAATAAAAATAGAGGCAAAGTCTTAGTTACGTCGAAGTACTTCACGTTAAAAGAAAATGAAAATGCAGTTTGCCTACAGAACTTAAATATCACGACAGCCATAGGCTGTGTGGGGGGGACTACCTCTCATTCCCTGGCTGGAACTCGGACAGCAGGGAGGGCCGGCGACGGTGTGGCTGGGCCAGGGCTCCATGGCTCAGGTGGGAAGCATAGTCACGCGGGTGCGTGTGGTACTCCACCAGTGCTACATCCTGCAGTGCAGAAACACACAGTTAGCACGCCTGCTTCGTCCCTGCACCTAAGCCCTCCTGGCGCCACTGGCTGCAGTGAAAATAAGGGGTTAACACAAATGTAGATTCAAGGAAAACAAGGCGAACAGCCGGTCTCCGGAGTTAAGACGTGATTAACTTCTACAGTAAAATTCCCCGTAAAAATGGAGATGGTCTGAGCTGGGTTTACTGCCATACCATCCACTCCGCTTAGAATGGGTCAGGAGGACTTACCGCATGTGTTCGGGCCAGCTGCAACGGTAGCGCTGCCGGGCTAGGAAGGTGTCGGGCGTCTACGACCCGGCGACCCTGGGCCACAGACTGGGGGTGGCTGGACATGCTCCTTCTACAGAGAGGTGCCGTCCAAGAGCATCATCACTGGGTGTCTGGGGGACGACGACCTGCAACACAGGCATGCAGAGGGCTCAAGCTTCTATTGCAGAAAGCATGCACTTTGTTATTTGACAAAAACAGAACTCCTCATTGCCAAGAGGATCCTCCATCCAATGCCATTTATAATCTTACAAATTTTTACAACCCAAGTACTTAAGAAGCAATTCATATTAAATACACTGTCAATAAAACATGACAAACTGAGCCCGTGCGGGGCTTAAAATATGTCAGGTTCCTTAATTATCAGCATATCAGTGTCTCACACTGGATTTGATCATGTAAGACTCATTGGGCTCCCCATTGAGGACCTTCCCCCATGGGCAATATGTGGCATAAAGAGACAACAAAGCGTATACACAGTCACTCCCCCGAATGCAAACTTTGAAAGGTTTGCAGTGATGAGGTGTCTGACACACAACAACAGAGTGGTGCAAGAAATCAGGGGCAGGTATAAAGGGAGACAGGGGTGGATCTAAAGGGCCACAGGGTTGAGTATAAAGGGAGGAAGGGGTGGATCTAAAGGGCCACAGGGTTGAGTATAAAGGGAGGAAGGGGTGGATCTAATGGGAGGCAGGGGTGAGTATAAAGGGAGGCAGGGGTGGATATAAAAAGCATCAGGGGTAATTACAAAGTGTCAGGTAATCCCCTAACGACAGGGATTTGTGAGATGCAGCTCCTGTGTCATTACTACACTTGTCACAATAATTATGTTATCGATTTATCGCACAATGTATGGACATAACCTCAAATTTTTCTCTAGCCTCAATATTGGCAAATCATGTTTACACATAAGAATAAATGCCTCCAACATAGCCAGTGGTATTTCTTTAGCCGTCTTTTCCGCTCTCTGTGTCGCAGGCGCTGCTCAGGGCTGATCCATACTTCACATGAAAGCATGCTCGCCACAACACATGCAACGCAGTGCTGGGCCATTTGCAATCCTGAATGGTCATACTTCACGTGCCAGGCAAAGCTGCTCTTAAGTCACATTGAAGTGTGGTATGGATGTTATAAGTACCATTTCCCACTGTCTCCTCACACACTACTTTCATTCCCTGCGTTCTGTTGTCACGAGAAGGGTACCAACAATAGTACGTGTGTTCTGCTGAGAGAGAGAGTTCTCTGGAATTACAGAAGATACGGTGGATATTGCACAAGCACATACAGGTGGGCGATACCGCATACTGTTTTGGGTGTTGTTTTTTTTTTTTTTTGAGGTGATTAAAAAGGTTTGTCATGTTGCTCTCTGATTTGTGAACCTCTGACTTGTCCTCCATGACGGCCATGTCACTGCGTTGCCAAATAGGTAAGGCAATGTTATGATATCAAGTACAGGTGTCATATAAATCAGGGCACTGAATTTCTGAGCAAAACAACCAACCTGACCATGTGTTCAAAATGCTTTGTCCAAGTAGGAGCCGGTATTTTCCAAATAGTAATGTAGCACAAATACAATATTTGCATTGACTTCTATCTCACTTCCTTTTAGTTTTCCAATGAACAACTGAGGTTTGTTTGTATCACTGAGTGAAGTCTCCACAATACTGGGGTGATAGTATATTGCTTGTAAAGGAAAGAATGACTCTCTATACCACTGTGCCAGATGTTTAATATACAATGCAATTTTTGTTAACAGTGCCTGAGAATCTATTTTTTTTTTTGGTTGAGGTTTTATTTATGTTCGTAAGAATGAAAAGTTCATTGTTGCATTATTATGGCACTATGGATAGTACTATAGCAGCCATTCCAGAACCCAGCAGTGAGAGGTGCTAGTGCTTTCTGAGCTGTACCCTATAAGATACTGCACATTGCGTGGGCCCTGAGGACAGTAATCACAGGCCACCAGTAGCCAACTACAGGCTAATGTAAGTCAGCTAAATTTATCTAGCAAAAACCCAATTGATGGCATTTAAAAAGCATAGACATTTGACCGAAACATATCTGCCAGCTGTGAAGCAGTTAGTGTACAGTGCATACCAGCCAACTTTAAAATTCATATCTACTCAGTATGACCTCTTCAAGTCTTACCAAAATATTGCCTGTGGAACCTCTTTCCTGTAACTGAAATAAAGCAAACTGGATAAAACAGCCTGACTTCAACATGTATTATAATATCACATGTTTGACAGCACAAAATAAATGTGCTCACCGCAGTCTTCCTATTGAGACTCGAGTGTGCACTTCACTTTACATTTTAATACTCTTCACCCACAGGATGGGCAGCAGTCTGCTTTATTCACACACAATCACACACACAAACACTCCTGCAGAGACAGACAAACACACAAAGTATTAAAGGAAAATGTTATGGGTATCAAAGTACAGCGGTAACTTGGTATACGTCCTGCTTGGACGCGAAAAATTTTGTTTGGAATACGACTCACGTGCTAGAACTTGTATGGGTCAAAATGAGTCACGACACCGCGCGCTACCCTTGTTTACCTCTCTGGAGAATAAGTCACGACTGCCCACGAGCATCAGTATGCCAGTCGCTACCATTCAGTGAACAACCCACGCTATAACTCTCTTTTCATTTATCTAATTGCTTTTGTATTTATGTGTTTTAGTATTAAGCAGTGTTTAAATTATTTTATACAACCCCATCAATGTATAATATGCCAATAACAAAAGGATTTTTTCTTTCATGGGAACGTATTAGTCATTTTCCCTTTATTTCTTATGGGAAAAATTAGTTTGGTATAAGTCCAAGGATCTGGAACGGATTAAGGACGTATACTGAGGTACCACTGTATTAATTTCAAAACACTACTTCTGTGAGGAGATAAGTCACTGGCTTCTCTTTCGATTATAATTTTCCACAAAAAGAAAATTCATAAGTAGCTCCATACAAAACATTACTGCCCACTGCATTACACCACCACAAAAAATGCCCATGTCATGATTGTTAAGAAGCATCATCTATAGTTTTATCATTGAAAAAGAAAATAAGACCAAAAACAAAATCAGGCCTATCGAGCCTGTCACCTTTAACCTTGCAAAGTAAGACAACACATACAAACAATCTAAAATAAAAATCTACTAAATATTTTCAACAATAATATAATTTGCAGCTGGTATAATGGCGAATAATAGCAATGAGCCCCTATGACTGAACAAATGTAATTTACATCAGCACTAATATGAAGTTTAAAAAAAAAAAAGTAGAAAAAAAGGTAATGGTTACGTTTGCTAGTGCTACGAGAGTGGACTCACTAGCTATAGCACAATGGCAGGAGTGACCGGTTAAAACAGCCACTTTGATACTCCAGGACGAGGTCAGAATGTTCAGCAGTGACAGCTACAGTAACAGCAGAGGTGCGGGCGTTGTAAGCCTGCTGTGCTGCATGAAGAGACCAACAGACTGTTCATGCCCTGCCGCCTGGGCCACACAAGATGCAAAACCCCGCTCGGGTGGCAAGTCCTGTGAATGTTATGTCACGTAGACACATATATACGACCGGTACAGGTATGGCGGCCAGCAAAAGCGGCTTCCTCTGCCGGTTAGTGGAGCATGTAGCAATGCAGCTGGGTGGCCACAACACACACGCTGCAGAGACATGCTACAAGGAACTAGAGCAGGGGAAAAAAACAGAACTACAAAGAGCTTTTTGTGTGCTGGGGTTTTTCCTTCCCAATCCAGTTCAGTTTGATCAACATGACAGAAGCATCTCCTTGATAATCACAACCCAGTCGGCAGAAAGAGAGGGAGAAACTGTGTGTGGGGGGGGTGTTAAATTATAATCCATCAGAAAGCAGCAGTTCAGCACAATAAACAGGCAGGAGGCCGCGTGCACGCATTGGCAGTGGCACAGGAGCCAGTATGAACACCCACAGGCAAATAGCACCCCAGTGCCAAGCGTCAGCATCAACTCAGTCACCCTGTGCACCCACAAACTCCCGCAGGCTGCACTGGAGTGAACTGCAGTGTCCCCACATGCTCTGCTGTTACAACAGCAACACCCACCTCTGAGATCCCGCCCACTTGTTTGTCCTGGGAACAAGCAGCACACACAACAGTATGTGTACCCCTCTGCATTCTGTCACTGCTGCGAAAAAGTGCCGAAACAGGGGTAGGGGGAGCTTTGACAGTTTGTGTTTCATGTGGCTCTTTTTCACAACTAATGGTATTAATCGCAGCCAATGCCCTTTACACACACAGACACACACACACCTACGCCTTTTAAACTCCTACACCTCTTTGGCAGCAGAACCTGTATTCTGGGTTTCGAGATGAATCCCTGGAGACTGACCAAAAGTCTTCACCTCTCCATCCTCTTCCTCAGGCTCCCAGGCTTCTTAAAAAGAGCTTATGAAAGCAGCACTGGCTGCCAGCGCTCAGCAGCCTGGGGCAGGTAGATAAGCTCTGTGGGATATGCAGGCTGTTCACCGACTTCAAGGAGAAGTGAAAGGAAGAACCCACCAAAAACAGACAGATCAGTGACGGTCATGAGTGTAACCAGAACATGCTCCCATAATCTGAGCACAGCAGCAGTGCTAGAAGACACTGCTCCGAGCAGCCGCTCCAGCTCAATCCTCCTCACGGAAGGTAGCCTTTATGTAAAGCTTTGGCTGGGTAGCTATAACTCAACATGATATACCAGTGTTGCTGCATTGCTGGTCACAAGCTACCTCCACCTTGCAATCCCACGCATTTTAAGTCTAAAACCACTATATGTTGGTGCATCCATACTGCGGATGCACCGTCACATGTGCAGCTGTGGTGATGTAATTTTTGTCACTTTGGCACATTGATTGCATTGGGGGGGATCAGACTAAACACTTTTTTTTTTTTTACACACACTGATTAGACTAAAAACAAAATATGGCCAGCTGATTCAAACACAGGCGGACAGAGGAAGTCTGAAAATACCAGCATTTATGGGTTTCCTCACTATGGGATTAAAAAGATTCCTAGCTGGCTGCAAACTAAAATAAAATATGCTTGTAACTGCAATGTCATTTACTTGTCTGTGCCGTTGTGGTAGTATTATTATAGCTTGATTTTTTG